AAAAGAGGGGAGTGGCTTGACTACATATCTGAAGTCTATCAGACAGACTATTTTTTCGACGAGTTTTAGGTTCACAGAAACACTGAGAGAGGCAGGGTAAGAGATTCCCCTGGAGCCCCGCCCTCACGCCTGCACAGCCTTCTCCATTATCGGCATCTCTACTGGTGTGTTACCGTTGATGAACCTACCATGACACGTTACAACCACCCAGAATCCATAGTTCCCGTTAGGTTTCCCTTCTAGTGGGTTTAGACACATGCATAATGTATAAAATCTAACATGTATAATGGTGTGTGTCCATATCCTAGTATCACAGAGAGTCATTTCACTGTTCTCCGCCTATTTATCCCTCCCTCCTCCTGATTTGTATTTTAAAAAGATCATTGTGGCTGTTGGTCAGATCACCCTTTATATGAAGGGGATGATGGAAGAAGACAACATGTTTCTATGAACTGATATTTTGTTTTGCTCTTTGTAAGGCTATTAAAAAAATAAAAATTAATATGATTTTTGTCAGATTTGGCACTGAAAATACTATCAAAACAGGGAATTTTAAGACCTTTCCCCAGAACAAGGCTACATTTGTATCCAAGTTTCCAATCTCCTTTCTATTGTTTAGCTTTAGCGGACCCACAGTAACTAGACGGTGGTGACAGTTCACGTAAGCTCTCAGCAGGCAAGCGTCCCCAGAGAGAGGGGGACACGCTCACCACAGAAAGCCGACGTCTTCCCCGCTGGCTTTGTATGCGACGGGGACTGATGCTGGGGCCTGACTATGCCCTTCCTTTCCCCGGTGTGAGTATTTCGTGTGTTCCCGTGATGTCAGCACACATTGCTAGCAGTATAACACACACACACACACACACACACATACATGCACACACATATACATACATGCATGTATGTTAGATACACAGCACTTCAGCCCCATGCTCAGGGGTCATTTTAAGCTATGGAATCACCAACCAAAAGCATAAAAATGAGTAAACCACTAGAACACATAAAGAACACCTGTTTACAGCACTAGAGATAAAAGAGGAAGGCGAAGAGTCACTTGCTCTAGCTCAGGTGGGAACGTGTGTGTCAATGGACTGGAAAGCGTCAGCACCCGGAACGGGCATGGATGACTGCAGCAGCAGCACAAGTATTGATTTATGGGCTCCAAATAGATTTTAGTCAGTAAGCAAACATGCACTGTGGACTCCACAAACAGAGTGGAGAAACTGCCTATGCTCTGCACTGTACCGTGAGCCTTCTGAGAGCAGGACACAGACATGACACACCCTTCCTGACCCAATGAAAACAGTATCGTGCCTCATCCTGGCCAATCCACAGACTAAACTATGATCAAACATTCATAAATAACAGAGTGTTGGATTTTTTTTGTTTGTTTTTTTTTTTTTTTTACTTTGAAACCCTATATAGACAAAAGTGATAAAAGTGGGTTTTCTCTGCTTGGTTTCTGTTGTCCTTTCCCTCTGGGAGGGTAACACGAATTGTACAAGATGTTATTGTGCAAGCAAGCACCCACACTCTAGAAATCATGCTCTTCTGATTCTAGAATCTTGGCTCAGAGCGTTTTTCCTTACCCACAGCTGACTCACTCCCCAGGTGCTCTTGCACTAAAAGACAATGATATTTCCTCTCGCGGTAAGTGAGTGATAAAACCACACGTACAATTCCCAGCTAGGTGCCACGCCTGAGTTGTCTGGATGGTGAGAAGGTCTAACGCAGAGTGGCTGGTACCACAATGAATATTTCCCCACAAACTGTAAATTGTACGGTTGGTATGTCAAATGCCCCTGCTCCCATCCAGAATTATGGGGTGAAAAGGCCTCCTGGAAGTAATCAATCTCGGCTGTATGTGGAGCCCTGTTGGGGAGATCTGAGCCCCAAGATCAGTTGAGACGCATGATTTAAAGGGAGCCGCACAGAAATCTGCCGCAAACACAATCATCTAGGTAGGAGGTCTTCTGGAGCGTTTTCAACACATTTTTGTGTTATAACTCACCCTGTGTGAAGTTATAGAAGGCCTGTGCTTAAACACTTGAGGTTTGATAATGTGAAAGGAAGCAAACTTTTTACATTATTAGACCTTAATCTGTGTCAACACCAACTCAATGAAGTTTTCAACGTCTTCCATCCCTGGGTCTGGAGGAGGACCGGGGTGACGCAGCCCCAGCTCACACACGTCCGCCGGCTCTGCTTCTCCCTGCCCATGGGGGCGGTGCTGGAAAGGGCCCCCACAGATCCAGGGCCTCCACAAATGGCCTGTGGCCACACGTCCCTTCCCAGAGCCAACGTCCCGGAAGACGTGGCGTTATAAACAACGCGACCCCCAGGAGAGCTGGTCACTGACTTCATTCTGCCTTCCCCCGTAAGCCCATGGGAGGAGGCATCTGGGGGTTCCTGGCCTGAAAACTCCAGGGAGCAATGGGTATTGACGAAATGTTCCTATGTGAACTGTTCTGAATGACGGAATCGATGGGGGAGGGACAGGAGAGCTAGACGGCTCTGTATCTCGCCAGACTTGTCTTTACTTCTTCTTTAGGGAAAATAAACTGGCTTCCCAGAACGGTCCTCCAGGTGGACAGTACTCTAGGACTCCAAACAAACGCTATTTGATCTAGAAGAATTCTGGCACCCACACAATAGCCGAAGTCTACTATGTCTGTGATGTGACTGTAGTGCATTTGGGCAAAGATGTAAGCTCGCTAAGTACAAATACTAACGAGACGTTTGCCTTCCTGGTTTTGCCCGTGCCATATGTGGCACCATTTTAGCGTTCGTCGGCGATATAATTCCAGCTGGGCACAAAGTCATTACAGATACTGAAAATGTCAGTCCAGGACCAAGGATATTTAGGACCTTGCTTACCCTTTAATCTCTCGTCTTGGACAATTCCTTGGGTCTGAAAAGCATATAAGAGACTAACATATCAATTTGTTTGCTTGTTTTTTACTTTCAAATTCCACTAAGCTTACCATTTATCTGGCTCTATGGATCCAAAACAGAGTTTTAAGTTTCGTTTTTTAGAATTCCAATTTTTGTAATTCCAATTTGTTTTTATTTCTAATGTAGGCCTAAAACTTCTTTCCCTGAAGAACGCTAGCCATCTAAGATTTCAGCCAATGCCAAAGTGTCTAGTGGTGAGTATTGTTTTCTAAAATGCTGTTATCTCATGAATGATAGGTTAATGGAAACAAGTCTTTTCCTGTTTTGTTTTCTGTAAATCTCAAAGCTTAGCCTCTTGCTAATTTTGCCACAAAAGCATATTGCACTAATAAATCTCTAGATAAATCTGTCTTTGTTCTTGTCAGGGAAAAAAATACCCATGACACATTTTTTAGTATTCTAAAATGTGTTCTGGGAGGTCAAAGTCATACTGAGTGGCGACTGCTCTCAGTAAGGTACATGTTCTTGGGTGCTTTTTTAACAGGATAGAGTGAAATAAAATACAATGAGAGCTATTTTTTTTGGTTCATTGGCTTTGATTATACAATAATTTACTTCAATCAAATGATGAACACACATATATAAATTACATCTACACAGAAGAGAACCAAATGAAAACTCCCCAAACCTAAGTCAAAGATACTACAATTTAATAAACCACCTTAAAGTTTTTTCTTTCTTTCTTTTTTTTAAGAATGTTTATGTATTTTTTAGAGAGAGAGAGAAAGAGAGAGAGAGGGAGAGAGCGAGCCAGGAAGAGGTAGAGAGAAGGCAAGAGAGAGAAACCCAAGCAGGGTCTGCACCGTCAGCACAGAGCCCAGTGCGGGGCTAGAGCTCACAAACTGCAAGATCATGACCTGAGCCAAAATCAAGAGGCGAACGCTTAACCACCTGAGCCATCCAGGTGCCCCTAAAGTTTTTTTCTTAAATTAGGTCAAAGAGCAGAGAAAATGTGACGTGATGGGCACTGAGGCCTTAGTCCTGGGCTGATGCCTGCCGTGTAGCACAGAACCACAGAGCTGCAATTCCTCATAGGGTCTTTCAGCAACTGGCTCAGGTGATTCGGCCTTAACATAGAAATTTTCCCTCAGCTCCTCCTGATCTCAGTTCAATGTTATTACTGCCATGGAAAATGTTTCACTGATCCCCGAATGCATGTCACATGAGTTATTCCATCTTGTCAGATGATGAATACCTAATTCACATTTTAAAAAATCACACTCTTAACCCTTGTCTTTATCAAGAGGCTACATATTCCATGAGGCAGAAAATAGGCAGAAAACTGGGTTTTTGGTTTTGCTCACTTGGTTATCCCCAATGCTTACCCCTATCCTTGATACATAGTAGCTGCTTAGCAAACACTCATTACAAAATAGTAAGAGGAAAGTGAATTAATGAATACTCACTGTTTAAAAGAGCTGTTCATCTTCGTGCTGAGGAAAAAACGCAAGCAACATTTCCCCTATCGACCACACATGTTTTTTAGGTCCGTTTCTGTATGGCTACCTATGCACCTGTAACTTTGAGGAGCAAATAATGCTCAACATTTAGCTTCTCATGAATGGGTGTTCATATAAGTGTTTTCTGATGAACATCTTCCTGTGTTACTTACAGTGTGAAATACCGAAAGGGAGGGAGCAGACCTCTGGTTTTGTCCTGGCCTTGAAACCAGACTGCTGGTTTTGTCCTGGCCTTGAAAGTCTTCTGGACCATGCCTGCTGGGATGATTAACATCACTCACACCGAGTCTCAGTTCCCCAACATGTGGCAGTGTGTTCCCACTGACCTCCCTGCTGCCCATCTCACAGCCTGCCTACGCCTGTCACAATGGTAACACGACGACATATAGGAACATGTTTTCAAAACTCCATTTAACAACTCTGGATCAACCGTCGCTGATCCTGGTCCACTCTTCATATTTTGAGACCCTAAACTCTAGTGTTAGAGACGGGATCCTTTGGGAGGTGGTTAGGTCAGGAGGGCGGCACCCTCATCGGTGAGATGAGTGTCCTCAAAGAGCTCCCTCATACCTTCCTCCGTCAGGACACGGCAAGAAGACGGCTGTCCTTGAGCCAGGAAGTGGGTCTTCACCTGCTACTGAATGTGCCGGGGCCATGATCTGGGATGTGCAGCCTCCACAACTGTGAAAAATAAACGTGTGCTGTTTAAGAGCCCCTCAGTGTGGGATGCTGTGGTAGCTGCCCAGACAGATGGACACAGGAGCATACTACTCTCAGTGAGAACAGCCCATGCAGAGATACACGAAAAGTGCAATTAGTGAAATGCAGAGTGCTGTGCGGCTTAGGGATAAAACGAAAACACTGATAGAGGATTATTCATTCCTAACTCAGCCGTTAGTCAAACTATTCTATCTAAAAAAGTTTCTTGTCATTGACAAAGTTCTCTAATTTTAAGACAAGGTATATAAACAAGTCACCAAGAACCACCGTCCTGAACAGTAATTTAAAATGTCAAGTGGTAATATCAAGCCCCAGTCTTTAACATAACTGGAAAGTTGGCTCTTTGTGGTCAATGGCCATCTCAGCCCTTCTAGTGACTCCCTCGATTCAAGTCCTTGAAGCTTTCATTTACTTTTTTTGGATATTCACGTTGAAAGGTCAGAATTTCCACGATTAGTGCTAGAAAGCTTCTTCCTCTGGGTTTATACAAAGTCCCAGCACTGGCTTGCAGCTGTGAGAACCTGGCTTCTGTGAAATTCCTTCTTTTTATTCCTCACTAACTCGCTTTCAAAGAGAGGATATGACAGGCTCACCCACACTATCTAACACGTTTTGTTGTGTTCAACGCAAGGGATGTGGCCAAGAATCCGAGATTAGGCTGTGGCGAGAAATCCAGAATTACGTGACCTTTGCAGAAGTACTCGCGGCAGTTACAAACATTGGCCTTACCGATCTTTTAGCAAGGTGGTGGCGATACAAACACAGCTGGCTGTTCACAATCACTGGCGTGCCTCCGGATAATCACCGTTCTTCCTTTTATCTATTTTGCTGGTCATCACAAAGAAAAGTGTATATACAGATGAGATCATCTATCACCATTCTATAATATCTTGATTATAAACACATATTCTTATATTTTATACAAAATACATACTATGTAATATGTAATGCATATATAAATAAAATCATACATATTTGTCTATAATCTATTTATATATTTGGTGTCTAATATTATTTAAAGAAGAATACAAATACTGCCCAAATCTTGTTTTTTATATACTTGGCTCTTGATTGTAATATCTTCTTTTATTTAAGTTTATTTCTTTATTTTATTTAGTACTCTCTTCATCCAACTTGGGGCTCAAACCTACAACCCTGAGATCAAGAGTCGCATGCTCCACTGACTGAGCCAGCCATGCGCCCCTTGACTGTAATATTTTACAGTAACAAACAAAAAACACATTCAGATGAAATCACAGGGTCCAGGGTCCCATGAAATCCTCTGACACTTGCTGGCATTTCATTTGCCCAAGTCTAATGCAGAAATCTTTCCGTGGGACAAAGTCGTAAGTGTTTAGTGTTTGTTTTATTAGCAACTAAAACAATCTGGGGCATTTGGTACAAGCCTACCAAATAATATATTGTCTATTATGAATATTTACTCAAGCCCACAGCTAATCTTACATCAATCTTCTTGTGAGGTGGCAAAATATGTAAGATAAGGTAATGCTTGTGAACCTGTGTTTACTTTGCATGATAGTACTGCTTACATCTAAATGCTGGATAAACAATATTTTTAAATGGAATAATTAAAATAACATTTTAATATTTAGCAGGTTTTACTATTATAGCAGAGTCAAATGCTGGCCGTGTTGGATTTACTAAGGTCATAGGCTATGCTCAAATATTCTCTGAAAAGAGAAAAATTCCACTTTATTTCCTGAAACCATGGGGCTTAGAAGGGGAGTTGTTATTATCTGATAAGAACGAATGCTCTGTATTCCAAAGCAGATAAGCTTTAGGGTTTTTCAGTATTCGCAAGTAAATCATGGGAGTGCCTAGGGGGCTCAGTCAGTTAAGCTCCTGACTTTGGCTCAGGATATGATCTCTCGGTTTGTGGGTTTGAGTCCTGCATTGGGCTCTATGCTGACAGCTCAGCCTGGGGCCTGCTTCAGATTCTGTGTCTCCCTCTCTCTCTGCCCCTCCCATTCTCTCTCTCTCTCTCAAAAATAAATAAACATTAAAAATTTTAAAAAACAAATAAAACATAAATGTATAAACCGAGAGCAAAATTAATCTCATTCAATCCTTTCATTTTTTATTATTTATTTATTTACTTATTTTTAAATTTTTTTAAATGTTTTATTTATTTCTGAGAAAGAGACAGCATGAGCAGGGGAGGGTCAAGAGAGAGATGGAGACACAGAATCTGAAACAGGCTCCAGGCTCTGAGCTGGCTGTCAGCACAGAGCCTGACATGGGGCTCGAACCCACGAACTGCAAGATCATGACCTGAGCTGAAGTCGGTTGCTTAACCGACTGAACCACCCAGGCACCCATCATCCAATCCTTTTAAGTTTCAGGATCTGAGACCCTAGAATTTAACTGAATCACAATCTATAAACCAAAGCCTCAGCAAATGGATGTAAAAGGGAACACAAGGAAGCTTCCAGATCACCTGAGCCATGTTGCTTATATAGTATATATTACATAATGTGCTACTGTATATCATGATTACATACATCATATATATTAGCTATACTGTATATTATATATATTGTATGCTAGCAATAACACACACACATACATATATTTATTAGCTGTGCCTTTGAAATGTTCCCCAGCTGCACATTTGCAAAGCCCTCAAGTTCACTCTCTTCAGACTCTTCCTTGCAGTACTTGAAGCTTGTGCAGGAATCCCAGGAACCTGAACCATGCGGCAAATCCCACTTATGTGTGAGTATGCGAAGCATGCGACAAGCCTAACTGGAAGAAGATAAATATTAGCCCCACTTGACCGTGATGTCAAATCAAGTGGAGACTGCCCCACCTCTCAGCAGGCCTGTGGGAGTGGAAGATGGCCCACAGATTCCTTCGCTGGCTGGAACCACAGCATTCCTGGCCTCCCTCACGGTCTTGCTGGAGGAAACCTGGCTGAGCTCTGGTGGAGGACTGGGTCCAGGGTCAGCGTTGCCACCAGAAGTTCCTCAGGACTCAGACGTCCCATCATCATTTAGACGACTGGTCAACCTAAGTCAAGCTGTGCCCCAGTGACACATACACAGTTGCTCAGAAATGAGTAACAGGGACCTACCCGTCCATGTGTCAACAAGTTGGCTGTGAAGTGAATACAGATGTAGAAAGTCTCACATTTTCTTGGTCTGCTTGAATAAGGGGCCCCTTGCATGCAAAGTGCAGAACCTAAGTAAGGAAGACAAAATGAATGTACATGAGTATGTGGTAGAACAAGGTCTATCTGTGCAATAGGCCCTGTGAACCGTAAAGAATAAATTGCGGCCTTTGTCCTTCAGGGGCTTGCATCTAAGCAAGAATCATGGACCCTGGATGACCAGATAGGCTTTAAATAACAAACTGGAAACGATGCAAAGAACAGATAGATTTTAGGCTGTATGGGTTTCAGGGTCCCGGGGAAGGAAATATACAGTGTGTAAGCCTCATTTTTCTGAAGATTAGTTTGGAGACATGAAGATCCTCATTCAACAGAATATCAACTGGAAGCCAGTTGCTGTCAAGAAGAGCCCAATGTCACCTCCAGGAATGCCCTTGGAATACACCTCTGGGCCCAGAACTGAATTTACCATGAAGCCAAAAGGGGAAAGGAATCTCCCCCGCTCAAGCGATGGGATGATTAACGTCACTCAGACCACGTCTCACTTGACTCAACCTAGTCAAACTTCTCTTACTTCTAATTTCTGTCCCTGGGTCTGCATTTCTCCAGGCCAGTTTGGAACAGGAAACCCCTCTCTCCCCCGAAGAAATCCCAATGCAGTGCAGCACCTTTGCATCTTTCTGATCCTGACAGACTGATTTCATCATACTATAATTTCCTCGTCTATTTACATCTTATTTACATCTATTCATTCACTCAATGAGCATCTACCAAATAGCTGAGTGAAAAGCTCATTTCCAAAAACGGAATCTGTAAGTACAATGCTGAAGCACACAGGCGGGGCTCCTGTCCTTAGGGATCTGGGCATGCCATCTGAAGGCTTTTCAAAGTGCAAAGGTATGTGTCACTCGGACGTAAACCACTACATAGAGAGCAGCCCAAATCTTTATGCTCTTGCACATCTTTCTCAAGTTTTCACGTTGGGAAATAACTGTTCACACAGAAACAAACACGGCTGGACCGAGAGCATTAAACACTTGATAACTGATAACCATGTATTTTATATTCAGATTGAGAAAAGCAACATCCTCCTGAAAAAAACAAAACAAAACAAAAAACCAAACCCTTGCACACTCCATAGCTGTGACTTAACAATTTACTGAGTCAGATTGAATCTTACCTTTTAAGCTTCTCTGCCTCCAGAGAAGGTAATAGCCTGGAAATATTCTTAGAGCAGCTTTATAGAGACAGTGGGATGGTTCAATGAGGGCCTTGTTAGGAGGTGCTCTTATGGCCTGAGATGAGACTGGCATCAACAGGGCATGGGGGTGACCTGGCATTCAAAGAGGAGGCTCTTACTCTCTGTGGCAGGGAAGCCACGGGCTTGGGTGTGGTCTGGGGGCAGGGAGGATCACGTGAGTAGGTGGAAGCAGATGGTCACACTCCAAAGACTTGACCAGGCTGATGGAACAGTCCCTTCATGGGGAAAAGTGCCTGGAGGTGAGACGAGACACCAGGTTTGACCAACCTGTGTCAGTCTTGAAAGTTAGGCTATATCTATCTACTTCTCACTTCTCCCCCCAGCATTCTGGAAAGTCTTGCATCTCAAAAGAAAGTGTGTTTTTTCTTCTGGAGATGCGGAGGAGGCATTAAAGACAACTCAGACGTCATCAAAGCGTCCCTGCAGTGTGTCACCTGTGGCGTTTCCAGAACAGCCCTAAGAGGCCATGGCCTCCTGTTCCATCTCCCAGCCTCTTTCTCAGGTTATTCATCTTTCCCTGCCATGTTTCCTTTAGACAGGTAGCAAGTCAAGGGCATCAATCTGCTGTTACCTCCTAAGCTTTTGAAAGAAATCCTGAGCAACGTCGTTCAGACCCAGAGCAAGGACATTCTGACAGATGCTTTACCGGAAGGGCATTTTTTACCCTGCTGAAATGCAGCAAACAACAATGTCAAGTTGACATTGACATCCAAGTATAAGGTAGGAAAAAAAATCACAGTGACTAACTGTGTACATACAATAAAATACTCACTGGTGATTTTTCTTGATTTGACATTGTGTTATATAAGGATGTGGTAGCTTTCTTTCATAAACCTTATTTTCGTCTTTCTGCCTAAGGACACAGCAGTTAGGACTCAACTATGTTACGGAAACTCCAGAAAGAGGATTTTCCTCCAAACCTGACCACATTTTGTGGAGAGACTGGACCAAGGGAATGAAGTGCCAGGCTTTCTAGAATTGGTCGCTACCAAAGTCATGCAAAAGTCATTCTGTCTAAATGCGCGTACGTGTGTGTAAGAGTGAATATGCGCACCCACCCAGTCACACAGGCACAGGCTTGCTGATAAAGATACATAAGGAGATATTTTTTATTTGTTTGAATCCATATGTTTTATGGTAAGGTTCAAATCATCAAGAGCTCCAGTTAAGATAGCAAATGCACTTCTCAGCAACTGTGTTTTCCAACATTTTTACAGAAAACACTACCCCTCCCTCAAGTCGGGAAGGGAGACTAAGAATTTTGTTTTAAATATTCTAGGAAATATATGTGGAAAGTTCTACTAGTTTCTGTATAATCATGTATACAGAGAAGTCACTTCAAAAGCACCCAAGACTTAGTGCGGGAGGTCGTACAGGTGAGAGCTGAGGGTGGGAATCCACAGGGAAGAGAGCCTCCGAGTGCCGAGTTCCGGTACTGGTCACGCCGAGGACCGCCTTCCTCGCTGCACATTTACAGTTACATCAAGTCTGTGCATGATCAGGCCCCGCTAATGAGTGAGGACAGGGGCCAGAAGCAGAAGTCGGCACGATATATCTGCTATAAAACAAACCCAGAGCTTCTGAATTGCAAATTTTGAGGCAGAATCCTGGCTCCTGAGAATGTTCAGCCAAATTATTTGCAGCCTGGGATGTAAAAATATGCAGCGAAGTCTAGACCTGTTCTATTTACTTTCTTTCTTTCTTTTTTTGCTGCTGCAAAAGTTTTGTTTTGTTTTTTTCCTTTCTTCTTTTCCCCTTAAAAGAAACTGCCCGGGCTGGCGTGTTCATCAAAGCAATTTAGTTAGAATGCACTTTGACAGACTGCATTAAGAATGTTGACTTGGGAAAACAAAAGGTGGTTTTATAATGCACATAAATTATGTGCTTTACAAAAACCGAAGGTTCAGAATTCTATAATGATACTCAAGCAGAGCAGAATGAAGTTTGGCCTATTTTTTGTTTTGGCACTTCAAAAGTTTTTTTTTTTTTTTTTTAGGATTCCATAGCTGATAAAACTCAAACAAAAAAGACAGTGCAGTGTATTTTGGTTTCCTATTTGCATTTATTAAAATTAAATTTAAGTCAAAATATATTTATTAAGTATCAACTGGGAGCCAAAGACCATTTCTTAGGGGTATAAGTGTCGACTGAACAATGTCAGAGAAAGTTTGGGGGAACATAGCTCCTCAGGTGAGTAGTCTATGCAATGTAATGAAAAGTGTTTACTATGTGACTTGGAAAAGTATTGTGTGATTTCAAAGAAGCACACGATTATATTTGATTGAGAGTTCATAAAATATCTTTATTGAAAACCAAGTTGTGATCTACCCATTTCCTAAGGAGTGGATATTAAACAAGGATGGAGAGAGATTCCGTAAGCAAAATCAGCATGATCCAAGGGCACGTCCAGGCTGTGTGAGGGTGGACAGTCTGTTTAGTGTCTAAAGCACATAGAGGGGAAGCTGAAGAGATAAAGCTGGAAAAAACAGAGCACTGACAGTTACAAATATGAGAACGCTACGAAGACGTGGTAAGAAAATATTATGATCAGAGCCGTGCTTCCCAATAACCAATCCTAAAATGGTGTGTAGTTAGACTCATGTGAGATATGAGGAGACCCACCAGGGGAAAGGTCAAACAGTTCTTTCATGATTTAGAAAAACCTGAAGATGATACACAAAACAATGAACTTGATACCTGAAGGTAAGGAAAAAAATAAATATATAAAAATGTAGAACTGACATCAAAGCTACCTAGTGCCAGGGGATAAATCTAACTATATGAATCTTTTACATAGGAAACAACAAAAAATGCTGAGACAATTTAAACAAGACCTAAGTAGAGAAATGTATTACATCTATAGATTGGAGGACGTGATAGTTTTAAGGTACCCATTTTTCCCCAGCTTGATTTATAGGTTCAATGTAATCACTATCAATATTTCACCAGCTTTTTTGGTGGCAATTGAGAAGCTGAGATCTCAAATTTATACGGGAAGTTAAAGGGCCCAGATTAGCCAAGGTTTTCCTTAAAAAGATCAAGTGTCAAAGGCTTAAGTTACCAGATATCAAGACATACAATGAAGCTACAGTAATCAAGACAGTACCACATTTGTAAAACACATAAAAGAAAAAGGAAAGTAGCACAGGAGTAGACAAAAAGATCTGTGAAAAACAGTGTAGAATCCGTAGGATGACCGATTAACACAGTCAGCTTATTTATGAGAAGGTGCCACATCAATTCACTGGGGGAAGGGACTGCCAGTTACATAAGTCATTTTGGTTCAATTAGATATCAACATTTTAAAAGAGGAATTACTTCTACCTCAAATAAATGGATATGAAATATATCATAGACTATCTGTAAAATGTAAATAGCACAACGTATAAAAAAAAAAAAAACCCGGGAGAATACAGTTATGAACTTGGGGTATACAATTTTTAAATAGGATAGAAAAATCAGTAGGCACAAAAGAAAAAATCTACTAAGTTGTTTTTCCTTAGAATTAAAAACTTTTGTTCATTGGCAGACATCAACAGAAAAGTTAATGGATAACACAGAAAGTAAGACCTCGTAGTCTCAAAAAAAAAAAAAAATCCCACAAAACCCATATCCTTAATATATAATGTCCTACTCCTACAAACCATACCAAAAAAAAAAAAAAAAAAAAGACAATTGAATTACTAAGCATTTTCAAAAGACCTGAGATGACACTTTCCACATGAGGATTTCTAAATGGTCAACAAAGCTTCTGAACAATTATTGAACATCATTACTCAACAGAA